GGGCGATATGCTGACTCTGTAAACCGCTTAGAGAGGGCTGAAAGCCCTATGAAGCGGTATATAAGTCTAACTGCTATTGCTATTGCTATTAATATAATATTATTAAAACTATTGAATGTCTTGTAAGAATATCATCTCTGAGTTATTGTTTTTCCCTGCTAACGTGTATTAAGGAAGCTGTCTTGATATGGTTATATGGCCTTTCAATAACTTTTTCTCTGAGCCAATGTTCAGCCTTTATGTTGTGGCAAATATAGAATAAGATAGCTTTTCTTGTAATTTTTCCCACCTCCTCACGTTGTCAGTTTGTTAAATCACTTATCTCTGTGCATTATTTCTGTACTCTTATGATAAACTCTGCCTTAATTGCAAGTGTGCTATTGCATCCTCTGAAGTATTTCTACCACTAAATATAAATAATGTGAATTGTTTGAGATATATGTTTATTTGAGTGGGCATGGGAAATGAAGTGCCTATCTCTATAGACTGACCCAGTCATGTTAGCAGGGATTTCCATAATAGAGTTGTGCAAAGTGTTCAAAAGAGTTACTTTTGAAGAGTGCACAGAATGCAGAAGAGTGCAAATGAATCACCCTCTTCAAACTATTAAACCAGTTTGTGCAAAGCTTAAAGACAGAACTTAAAAAAAAACTCTTTGACTTGAAGCAGTCATAGAAGACTTGTTAAAGATACGACTACTTTAATAAGCCAAAAACTGGTTCTTATTTGTGTAACAGCAGATAAAACACATTTCTGTGTTTTGCAGAACCCTTGTAATAAGCTATTGATTTTTTTGTTTGAAAAAACATTCCATTTTTGTACACTGGCTTTTGTAACCTTTTCTCTGTGCTGGAAATGTGGTTTGCCTTAGAAGAAAATATCTTTTGAAAGGAACTCTTTTTCAGTACTATGTCTCCTGTAATAAAAGTGTTTTCACAATGCATGTCTGTATTGTGTTTTTCCTAAAGTCAGTGTTCAGAGTTGTGAAACTGGAGCCATATCTTCTGAGAACACATTGCTGTTGTCAATATACTGTCATAGAGATTATAAACATTCTTTGAATTCAACATCTATTTTGAAGCTGAAGCTTTGAATTTCTCTTTTGAATTTGAAGCTAAGAAATGAAATGTAGAATCTAGAATCAAGGAAAAAAACACCAAATAGTAGAAAAGATTAACCAAATGATTGGCATCACTGTACATTATGTGTTTTATTTAATATTATAACATACAATTTTCCAATTGTGAAAATTGAGGTAAAGTGTTTTAGAGTCTCTTGGAAATAAGGATACATTTTATGAAAATTCTTATTTTGTCCCTAGAGAAAAGAGAAACTTGTCAAAAATAATGATGTTGTTGATGTTGATTTTATTTATATGCCGCCCTTTTCCCCGAAGGGGACTCAGGGCGGCTCACAACTCAACCAGGGAAGGGGGATACAAACAAGAATTTAAACGATATGTTCAGACTTTGTGTTATGGGAAACCACATGGGTGTTTTAAAGGGGAAATTGTGACCTTAAAATTTACATATTCCTTCAGATAAAAGAGTCCTTAAGGGCATTCACCTATAATTTTCTCTGCACTCATGTGGGGCGAGGTGTTCTTATTTATTTTCCCAATGAGAAATCCAATGAAAACGTGGAATAATGTTAT